TCTCTCTCTCTCTCTCTCTCTCTCTCTCTCTCTCTCTCTCTCTCTCTCTCTCTCTCTCTCTCTCGAAATATTTTATATTAATATGAACAATTTATTTAAAAAGCAACGTTACATCAACGCGTGTACCATTAAATTTACATTCGGAAAAACTCAAGTAAAATATAAAATAGTTAAATCTCAATATATACTTACTTTATTCTGGAAAAAGATGAGCTTCTCGATAACTTATGGACGAGAGATAACTTGTGATAAGATAGACTTTACGAGCACCGCGTTCGAAGTATCCGAAAATTAATACAGCAGCAAACTTTGGTAGATTTGTGTGGACGAGTTTGGTAACGTGATATATTTAAAATAAGTCGACAGCAAACGTCTCGAATAAATATTTCAAGTTACGATACACTCGCGGTATTCTCGAAAGCAAAAGGCATGATGCGCTCTCTCTCTCTCTCTCTTTCTCTCTAACAATTTATAGTAAAAGGAAAGGAAGAAAAGAAGCTTTTCAGACGTCTCTTCAATATTTGGAAGCAAACGTAGCAGCAAACTTTAGCAGACGTCTGGGTATATTCTGTAGCGCGCGCGGATACACTCAAGGCAAATCGAAGGCGGCCGTCTCTCTCAATCGAGAGAGCGTCTCGTATAAATACTCAAAGTCTCGCAATATTTACCTTATCTTGGGAGAGAGGCAGGGGAAGAGTCATGCAGCCCAGCAGCTCGCTACGTCTGAAACACAAACGGAAAGGGAAGCGCACGTGAATTCTCGCCTTCGGTAGTAAGAGTCGCGTAAACGTGTGGACGCACGTACTTATATGACGCACGAGTGTGCCATCTATTCGCGAGATGCGAGCGTGGTGTATATACAGCGTGACCGTAATGTCGAATATAGGGTTGGAGGGTGCAAAGGGGGAACGCGAAGAGTCGCACGTGGTGCGCGTGGTGCGCATGATCCCGGAGAATCGATTCCCCTCCTACCGCAAAGGGAACCCTCGGATGCCTAGAAATTAGTTTAGATATTCGGAAGAAGAATGGACCGAGCGCCGAGGCCGAGAAGACGCGCGGCTCAGGAATGTGCCATTCTTTCTCTTTGCGCATTCCTACATTTTTATTATTTTTTTATATCATTAAGAAAATTAATATTGGGGAATTTTTATACCGGCGCTTCTCTCTCAAGCTCTTAATATCTGGATAAATATCTCGTTTAACTTTTCTCAACACGATCAGCTTGTAAATAGTTTCTTAATTGAATCAACTTATGCCAAGGCGGGAAAGTGGCGAAAGCTCTGGAGAAACGTTTCTTCCGCAATTATACATTTGCGAATAAGCATTGCTGTTTTCTTCGTCTATAGGAAAATAACTGTAAAATGTACAAGAAAAATGTTTCCTTGTCTACATAATGGAATCTGTTCTTATGAACTTTTCTCAATGAAACGTTCGCGCAACTTTCTACAACCCGATAGAACGCAAGCTGAAGTAACTCAAATGACTATTTCTGTCGAAGGAACGTCTGTATGTTCTTGGAGCAGCTTAAAATTAGGTTGACTGTCTCGGCCGGGGACAATTGGACGAATAAACAAGTCGGGCGGCAGAAGGGGCGGGTCGATTATCGATCGAATATCGAACTGGCCTTGCGTCGTTTTTCTCCGCGAGACTGGGAAGTATCGACTTACAAATACGCATAAAAATAAACGTAACCAGTGGGGAATGAACGAGAGGTCGGCGGCGGCAGGTTATAAGTAAACGTGAATTTACGAGCATGCGAGTATGTGTGGTCGCTGGTAACCGTGAAAAATTGGAAAACGACGACCGATAAATTCGACGATCCGCCAGCATAAATTTCGCGAGCCTACCGCGGCTCGTGGCCGGTTTACAAATTTCACGAGGCTTTCCCACGCCGCCTCGCCATACCTCGACCTGAGAGAAAGATTGCTATCTCGTGCACGGTACGAAGCATCACGTGCTCGTTAAGCTCCGCTTGAGTTAACGACGTATCATTTACGAGGCTTTATCAGGACGAATTAAATACGACCGATTCGCCGGCCGGGGTTAATTCGCGCGACGTCTCTACCCACGATTGCTCGACTATTACGATTAGACGAACATTAGCGCGAGGCAGATTATCGTTCGACCTTTATCGATCGGAATAACCTGTTCCCTAAACGGCGAGCTTTATTTGTCTAGGCAGACTTTACCGTTCTCCCCTTATCTTGTTTCTTGTGCCAATTTATATGGCACAGTGTCGTCCACCGAATGAGCTCCGTGACGTTCTCGGCGTATTGGTAAATAAATTCGCGAGTAGCGCGGCGCAAGACGATCAATTTACCGGGGACTTTATCGCGAGATTTACGAACTTAATCAGTATATTCCAGCAATTCCGTTGCTCAAGCTCCCCCCCTCTCTCTCTCTCTCTCTCTCTCTCTCTCTGTCTGTTTCTGCCTCTCTGTCTGTTTCTGTCTGTTTCTGTCTCTTTTTCTTTCTTATATTCTTGGCGGAGTATGCTCACCTCGCACGACGATCCCGGTGCCAGACAGCGATGTCCAGGGACGTGGGCCTGCCGGTGCAATGACTGTTATACGCCGGACAAGGTAATACCAGAGTCTCGCGGAACACCGGGTTCGGCGTAGCACGGTGGACCGCGGTTCTCTTCACAACTCCTTCGCCACTAGTGTTCTTCAAGCTCGCCTTGACATACGCGTGTACCGGTCCCTCGTACGCTCGCCTCAGGTCCTTGCACCTTATCACTGTATCAATTAAGAATCATATTCAAGTATCATATGAGTAAAGAAAACGAATGTGTCTTATTATCTCTACAGAGGAGATATATTATGGAGGAGATGCTCTTTCTGCTGCAAAAATATTGAAAGCCAGTTTTTGTTTGTGGCATTTTTTTGTATTGACTTATCTACGTGTAGAAAGAGCATCTATTCTAGAACGAAATAAGATAATAATTCAGTGTCATATGAAGTTCTATTTATGTTATCAGACATGCGTGTGTATATGCGCGTGTTCTCCAGCAATAACAGAGAATTAATAAGTGGAGTGATGTACATAATACGAGATGTACATTATGAGACGAGAGACGTCGAGAATTGATCTTGATATCGTAACTACCTCGGTAGCTCTTTGAGAGTCCTTGTGGGAACAAGACTTCGGCCTTATTTCATGAAGAATTGTTCGTGCTTTCTCGCTATACCAGTCGTCTACCCAGTCGACTCATTCGGATTTTATCGACAGTAGAATCGGTATTTTTTGAAAGAGCAAGAGAACGTCGAGAACGTTTACAGCGTGCGCAGTTCTTAAACACGTGCGCCATATTTCATTGCCGGTTTCCTTCGCTCGCTGACTCTCGCAAATTCGCTACATACTATTCCTGACCGAACTCGTTTCAATTTTTCGTCATGTTTGTTTAACATACGCTACTTTTTTTATTGCTGACTTCCTTTGCATAACATTGATGTTATACGTGGCAAACATAAAGTTTACTATAAAACAAGCTGGATTGCTTTTACCTCAGATTTTTCTACGCAAATCTGCGTATATTTTTCTAAAACTTTTCAAGTCCATATTCCAGATTTCATTTGGTCTCGATTAAAAGAGGTAAATAAACACAGGAGACTTGTGTAAACAAACCGAGTAGAATATTTCTCGAATCCTAGCACACGGGGCAAATATTTCGCAACTGTGCGACGGCACTGCGGGCAGAGGGAAACCCGGAGAATCGACGCTCCGGGCTCGCTCTTACGGCTGACTGTACCACGGCATGCACTACTTGCGCCCGAGGACGCCTGACCGATGCGGCATTCGCTCACTGACTCCGCAAGCCGACGAGTAGGGTGAATTCGCGAAACGCGCTTGTCCGCTGGAAACATTTATCGCCGTACGACTACAACAAGCTCCTCAGTCGCCGGTCCACATGAGGCGACCATAACCGAAGCGACATCGAAAATGTTTACACGCCAGAGAGCTGGTCTATAACGTAAATACCGCGAGTGTGTTTCCGTATCGACGTCGCGCTTAAATTCACCCTGCACTTCCGTCGACTCACCCTCGTGAACAGCGAGCCAAAGCGCGTTGGTTACCGAACGACAAGGGATCGTAAAATCTCTGAAGTAAGAAGCTGAAGATGAAGCTACGGGAAGAATGGCTCCCGCAGGACGAGTCGAGGACCTCGATCGACTCGTGCTGATCCTGCGGAACGATCTCACGCCGCGTCCGCGAGCGTTGCGTCGACAGAATGCGGCAGGAACTGTGCGCGACGCTTCTCGCGCACCGGACACGCGAAGGTGCAACGAAATCGGTGGAGCAAGTCGAGAGAACGAGAACAGAATATCGTCTTCGTCATCGTCGTCGTGGACAAGAGTCGAGATCACGGTTGTTTTCGCAAGGACAACGTCAAGGATCGATGCCGGTGTGAGCCTACTAACCAGAATCAAGCTGCCGGGAGGGTCTGTAGGTTACTGGCACAGTGTGGTGCCTCGCGAGGTGCCGAGCACCCCCGAAACACCCCCTCTCGTGACACGTAACTGGCGCATGTCTCGTGGCCGCGCGCGACCGCAAGGGTGTACGAGTACGCCGAACCGCCCCGCGAATAACTGGCGAAATCGTGCGTCGTCCGATCCGCGAGATATGTCGCGATATAATACGTGTAAGGTGTCTGACGCTAAATTTTCCATTCCTCGTGTACATATAGATTAGGACCAAACACAAAATTCCCCTACCATTTTCTAAGCAACTACGTACAATTTTGAGTTATTAATTATGGAAGATTCGCGCAAATCATCACGCGCAACAAGGCAGACAAGTTGTGATACCGACGCTTGCAATCATGTGCTTATAAATTAGGTCAAACTGAAAAAAAATGTTTTCTACCATTTTGCAAATATGAACGTGGAGTTTTGAGTTATCAATTAAAAAATACTGATGAATGATAGCACGCGATAATGTACCATATTCTTTCTGTCCTGCATATCTGTAAAGCTTGGTTACATCAGTCGAATGATAAACTAACTGATAGTTGAATTATACGTCAGTCTTTGTTTTTTTTCACGATATATCAAGACAGACGCATGTTTTAACCCGCGTCTGTCTTAATTTCAGTAATGTTTTAACTGTTAGTTAGCTTACCACTCGGTTGGTGCAACAAGGGCTAAACTCCACTTTCTTTATATCGACGCAATTAAAGTCTCTTTTTGAATAAGCATAACAAACTTACCTCGCACGTGTATGTGCTCTGCCACGAGAGAGCACTCGATCTCGATCGAGCCGCGGCAGTTGGATCTCAACGGTTCGCCTTCGGGGCTGAACTTCAAGCACCGTCTGACAGTCGCGATCAGGGGCACCTCCGGAGTGGTGGACACAGAAGTGACGAACGATTTTGAACTGTGCAGGTCGTCCATCATGGACGATTTGGGACTGTCGAGGTCCCAGGAACTTCTGGTCTTCCTGCTAATATCCACCTCTTTGCGATCGTTCGCGCCGCAGAAGGACGTCTTCAGAGCTGGCACGTGTCTTTCGTCCAAGGTGGAATCGAGATCCGTCTCTAACGCGAGCTTCTTCACGTTTGGATTAATCGCCTCGATCAACGCGTCCTGATTATCCGTCGCGGAAAGACTGGACGTTCTTTTCGCGCGTTTACCGACCACCGACTGCTCGCCGTCCTTTCGCGGACGTTTCCTGCGAATGCCGCGTTGCCTCTTGAGCGTGAACTCGCCCTCCAGGTCGTTCAAAGGCGACGTGAACGCCCAGGAGACTGGCGAAGGGTCCTCGAGAAGTTGGCTAACTGATGATATAGAGCTGTCGTTGCGCGCCGGCGATTCTTCCTCTGCCACCTCGTCCTGCTCTGCGATAGTCTCGTATATGTGTTCCATTGTCTTTGCATCTGACTGCTGTTCGCAGGACGCTTCCAGGATCTTGCTTCTCTCTTCGACATCCCCCAAAAGAATTTCCGCTACGGTCTTGCTCCCAAAGTTTACCTCCTGCTCTCTGCGTATAAAATTTTACACTCGATTTTTAATTTAATCGCTTGTTTCATACAACGATGAATCTTATATGTTTTTTGTAGAGGAATTAGTACGAACTATCGAATACGAATAAATATACTAAATATACGAATAAACAATTCGAGTATCCATTTTTTACTATACTCATTTTATTATATAATCAGAGGAAGTTTAAAAACAGAGAGAAGTTTAAAAACATATTAAGAAATAAGATCAGTTTCACGAAAATATTGTAAGAAAAAATATAATTTCAGTGTAATTTTTACTACAGTATTTTATGTGTACATGTGAAATATGATATCGCACTAATTTCGTCAAACTTAAACTTTGACCTGAAACTTAAACTTTGAGTTTTAGATTTCAAGCAAATGTCATGTCTACTTCCTCAAACGATTGCTTTCAAGTTACTCTCACAATTTTCTGAACTTTACACCTCCTCCGCGTCTCTTCTCCACGCTTTCGTGCAAGATTAAAATCTTCATTCTCGGAATTATCAAGTTCCCTCGCTCTTCGTGGTTTCATCACTTACCTGTGCAGCACTTCCGTTACAGTGTTATCCATATTCTCGAACTTGGGTAAATCCTGGTCTATAGTCAGACTCGACAGCTTGCCGACCAGCGGCGTCTGTCCCTGCGTCTTCTGCTTGAAGGGGCTGATCGCTTGCGCGAGCTTAGTGTGATACGGCGTCTTGCATCGCGCATGGATCTTCGTGATCTTCGCCAACTTTGGCAAATACGGTGTCCTCACGTGCCGTGTTGTCTTCTGCTCGACACCTTTGGAGCAGACCTTGGTTTTACCCAGCGGCATCGAGTCCGCCTCCATCACGTCCTCGGGGCTAGTTGCCATCGAGATCTGCTGAAAGAAGTCGGACACGTGCGACTGCAGATTTGCGCGCGCTTCGTTGACCACGTTCTGCGGTAGCTCGTTGTCGCTCGGGAAATTCCTGGCTCGGCTGTTCATGAAGAGCGCGGGGTCCGTCGGCAGGGTGAGGGCAGTGGAGCACTTGCCACCGGCCGGACAGAACATAAGCGGGCCGATATCGGTGTCCACTCTCGGCGTGCTTTGATAGAAGCTCTCCGTAGTCGAGGAATTTTCGACTCCGTTCTGCGACATGGATTGGCGTTTGTTCGGCCTCGAGTGCGGCTTTGTAGCCTGAAAAGCCGATCGAGTGACTCGTTTTCAGATAAACTTCCGATCAACGTTAACAAACGAGAATTCTCTCTCTCTCTCTCTCTCTCTCTCTGTGTGTGTGTGTGTGTGTGTGTGTGTGTGTTGGTGTGCGCGCATATGTGTCTATGTGTGTGTCTGTCGAATTTTCGTGAGCTCACTATTACCTGAAAATACGTCCTCAAGTCAGTCCCATGACTTCTGCATCTTCTCCTTCGCGCCGGCGTCGTCTTGGACGCATTCGACACATTCTGAGCGGTTACTTGTCTAGTTCGGGTAGTAGAGGTTGGCGGTGTGTTGGACAAGTCTCGAAAAGGCCTGCGAGGTGCTTTATTCAAGGTGGGCGGACCGTGAGGTGTCGAGCTGGTCGTCGACAACGATCTCGAGACCGTCCACTTCAGCATCTCTACGCGGAAAAAAACTAATGTTATAATGAGAGCAGACAAAGAGTGAGAGAGAGAGAGAGAGAAAGTAGGTTGAACTTGTAGAGATCAGATTTATTAGAGATAATTATTGAGAAGTATTTATTAAACATATTAGAGATTAGGTTTATAACAAAGAATTCTAAAATATTTATTGTCAAACGTGCGTATAATTATTGTTCCAGCCATTTCTTTTCTAAATGTTCTCAACTTTATCTTTTAATAGATATTTCTTCTTCTTCGGAATTCAGATCTACAATGAGAAAGAAATATTTGGAAATTGATTTGCGAGATAAAAGTTTATTTCACAGAAATAAACTTTATATCCTACTAATATTTATTCACAAATATTGTTTTCTCAGTATACAGACTTGTGAAACGATCTTTGCTATCTCAAGTATCAACTTTTTCCGCTTTCTATTCTATTAGTCTCATATATCAGATCTAACTGTTTCCTTCGTACACACAAAGGTGGAAGTGCAAGGGTTGGGCCAGTTGTCATTAATTTACGATGCTATGTAGAATGTACAGGCATGAATGGGAGAGTCGTTACGTCTCGATAACGTTGACAACAGCGTACTGCCCTGCCCAGTCCACCCATTGACCCTGAACATGAAGTAATCGTTCGCGCTTAATTACGTAGGGAGAGACGTGCACGATACGCTACACAAAACAGACGACAGGAAATGTCGTCGTGACGAGATCGAGAGAAAGGAGAGCGAGAGAGAAATATAGAGACATGCACCTGTCGCGTCATACGGGAAATAGCGAAACAGGTGAAAGCCATGCTACACCTGAGAGACGGTTTCTCGAGTTAGCACTTAGCTAGACCCATGCTTAACGATCCCATAAACGGCCCTTAAAACTAACGCCAATGTTTCTCTTTTTCTCTCAGTCTTTCGTTTTGTCGCTTTCTCTCTTTATTTCCTTCTCATTCTCCAGAGCGAAACGCCATCGAAGGTAATTTCATCGTGGTCAACGACGTGAGAGGAAAAAAATCGGGCGCGGACAAGCGCGACGGGCGACAAAGAGAATGTGACGGAGCGAATGGGCCGAATTATTGTTTCGCACGGTGACAACGTTGTTGCTGCGCATGCAGCCCCTGACTCGTGAAATCGCTGATTCGATTAGACCGCATGTGAGCACAGATTCCACGGTCATCGAATTGATTCCGGAAGCCTTTCTCGCGAATGTGATCTAGTTTGGCAATTCCCAATCGGAGATACTGCAACCGACGCTCGATATTTTCGCGGATATTGCAATTTATTTCGGTTCGGACTCCACTTTTCGTTGTGTGATGGGAGCATTGACCGTTTTTTATTCGAATTCGAAGTTTATTCGAAGTTGAATTCACTGAATCCAATGTTGAAAGTATATTAAGAAAGATATCTTGGTAACTGCAACTATAACAACATAAAAAATAATTAGTATAAATTGTGATAAAAAAATCATTTTCCCTTTTATTAAGCTCTATTATAACGTTAGTAGTAATAATATTACATGTATATACTACTACCGTTTTCGTATTAGAACTAAGGAATATTGGTTGGGGCCAAAAATAACTATAATTTTAGTTGGATCAATCATTTTCTCTTAGTGTAGAAAGAAAATATGTAAGAGTGCCTTAACCGATAATTCGCTTAATATTGATCATTTCGTCTGAGTATGTCAAAGAACGGCCGAAACATGTCGACCGATAATTCATTGATTTATATCTGCACGCGTGTACTATTATTCGTAATTATAAACACATCACATCTGCAATCAGTTCTTACTGCTCTTCATTGTTACATATTTTTACACGAAAAAATACACAATAAAAATGTATTCTTCGTGATTTTTTGGAACGCTTTGAGCGAAATCCTCATTCGAGATTCGGAGATTCGGAGATTCGGAGATTCGGAGATTCGCGCAGCGCTCGGCGGAAACGGGAGACATCTCGCGATGCATCCGGTCAAGCGAGAGACCCCGCATCCCTGATCCCGATCCTGACCCTGAAAGGAACTCCTTTGAAACAACCTGAAAATCGTACAGGCAGTAAGCCGGTGACGGTGCGTAAGAGAGCGACGGCAATAGCAGCAGCAGCACTAGCAGTAGCAGCAGGTTTTCACTTTTAACGGTTTGTCGAAAGGGGAAAAAGGGGAGGGAGGGAGTGCGGCATGTATTGTACTAGCTAGGTATAAAAATGCATTCATTTGCATACAGGCTGTTGCTATGCCCCGGTACGCACACGAGCATACTCCGAGTCCTTTTTCGCGCGCGCTCGCTCGCATGCGTTTCTCCGAGAAATGTGCGAGTGTACGTGTCTGTCGCGACACCACCCTAGGCATTCGCAAAACGGTCCGGGCACCTGCCCATATGGTGGTGGAACACGGTGAGTCCCATCTGGTATCTGAGCGCTCGGCCCAACGCTAGGTGGAACCCCGATGTCGAAGTGTAGCCGAAGGTGACGGCTATGTGACGTTTGGGCGAAGGCACTTTCTCCTAACGTACGTTTCGAAAGTCTCTCTCTCTCTCTCTCTCTCTCTCTCTCTCTCTCTCTCTCTCTCTCTCTCTCAATCTTCATGGAAAGAGTTGCATCGCGATAAGAGACCGTTTTCTGGCGAGCTTCTTGCGAGAACTTTGAAAAGTAGAGACAATCTCTTTAAAAGCCCGTGAGTCCGACGACGAGCTTCGCGCTAGACAGAATGACACACGGAATAGCTGAAAACCCTCCGGACGCATTCGTCGCGACGAGTCCCTCTCTTGGACGAACCAGTACAAGCGGCGACGAAAGGCATCCGTTTATATAATCAGACGCTAGTTTGTCGTTCGACGTAAACACGACACGACAGCCAGACTGCACCTGCGATAAGGTATTGTTTCGTCCGTTTCCGGCTTGCGACTGCACGACATTACGCTAAATTGTACACCAAACATTTTATTGTCAGCGCGCTTGAATGGAGGAGTTGGCGTGTGCGTGTCGCTGTGCGCTATGAAGGGATATAAGGACGGTACCTTTGTGAATTGCAGACCAGACTCGACCAGAAAGAGACTATGAACGTCATACTTTTGCAAAAATATTTCCTTATTAAAAAAATGTACAGTTTATATTTAGCAATAATAGAGAGAGGGAAAACGGAAACAAAAATAGAAAAAAAGATTTCTGAAATATTAAATTTGGTAATGAAACTATAACTTTATATATACATATATTCAAAAAGAAATTCTTTTTTCATAGTTAGTATGTTATAATTTAGATCTCTAAATTTTTTCATATAAATTTATATTTTCTCAAGACAAGATCTTATGTTATTTTGGGAACATGAAACGATACTAAGCAATGAGAAGAGGAAGACAGAGAGAGAAATAGAAAAAAGATTTCTGAAATATTAAATTTGGTAACGGAAACTGTCACGCGATATCGTAATGTTTCCGAACTGTCTATCAGTAAGTTATCGTTCTATCATTTGCGGAGAGGTAATATCCGGGAAGAATAATGGTTCAAATAGTAGATAAGGATCGTCTAACTTGATCGCACGTGCCACCTGCACCCTAATGCACCGTCCTTCCCATTGAGATCTCGCTGTGGCTACGATAGATTCGATTAGAATATCCATGGCGCTCTATTAAGCGGGACCGAGGGGCCCAGCGTCGTAATTACGAGTGCACGATAAATCTTAGAAGCCCACTGTGTGTATGCGATATAAGGAAAGGGGAACCACACTGTATGGTCCACCTGTGAGCGCTATCGTTTGATCTCCGACGATCTATGATATGGCGCGCCTCGCGAACAAACGACCGCGGTACGAGAAGCGCTAACTTACATATTTCCAATTTGTATAACGCGTTTAACACTCGAGGAAAAGACCGGTGGATAAGGGAAGGTGCAAGGAAACGAACTTGAACTTGCTTCGCCAAAAGACACATTTTGTTTTCTCACAATAATGCTTAACTCAATGCGACGCGCTCGGTTTACGTTGTATTTAAAATTAGTATATTGTTGTTTAGCTGTCATAAATTGCGGGAGAGAAAATCGAGACCCCAAGACAATGATAACGATCCTGCACGACTTTAGCAAAAATTGGGGACGATAGCAATAAGAACATTGAAATTCGATTTGTTTTGACTCGTATCTATACACTGAGGAAAAGATATTTGGTATTTGTTATTATAAAGCATAGTGAAATAATTAGAATCAGAAAAATCATTTTTGTAATAATCGCGCACGTTACTATACACAAAAAATATCATTCTGGTGTTAGGAAAATGAATTATTTAGCTTATTTTCCTCCTTTCAAGTAATGGTTACTTTCATTAAAAAAAGAGAATATTTTCTGTACACTCAATATATTTTGTAATCAATAAATTTGTAATGTCAATAAATTTTAAAAAAAGCTCATGTACTCAAAATTTTTTTCTTCATAAAATACTACAAAACTTTATCGCAGAAAAAGTTGATTCAGCTCTATGTAAGAAAATAGAGTTTTTGTTTTATATTCTTGATTTGAAATGCTAAACTTGCTAGGATTTAGAATGTATTTTGAATAAATTTCATAACTTATGATGAAATATGATAGATTTAGAATATATAAACTTATGAAATACTTGAAACTATTAACATTACTTGAATACAGAATGTGTATAGTATTAGTGATAATAATTTTGTCTGCATATTTATTATTATCATTATTGATTTCTTGTTAGAATAACGAGAAATTGCAGTTGGCACTGAAAACAACTACAATCTTAGCATGGTCAACCGTTTTTAATTGGCCATTTCTTTCCTCTCAGTATAAACGCATTTCATGAATATCAAGTAGCAATTGGGAGGCACCCCGTACTTCAGCTCAATGTCGCGAAACAGTGACAAGTGCACAAAAGCGGCGTGGCGTCGCGATGTCGAATTGTTCCGCGGCCTCCCGATCTCCCTTTTATGAGCTCATAAAACGTTCGCACGAGGTCGAGACGCGTTCCTGAGGTCGTGTCGTGAATGCGAGAATGC